TAGTAACAGCAGCAACATCACCACCACTAGCAGCAGTAACAGCAGCAACATCACCACCACTAGCAGCAGTAACAGCAGCAACATCACCACCACTAGCAGCAGTAACAGCAGCAACATCACCACCACTAGCAGGCAGTAACAGCAGGCAACATCTACAACCACTAGCAGCAGTAACAGCAGCAACATCGACCACCACTAGCCAGCGAAAGCAGCAACATCACCCCACCACTAGCAGCAGTAACAGCAGCAACATCACCACCACTAGCAGCAGTAACAGCAGCAACATCCCCACCACTAGCAGCAGCAGCAGTAGCAGCAGCAGCAGCGGTTATTTCGCCGTGGCAAAAGGCCATGCTGATTTCGAAGGCGCCGTAATTTTATGGGAAAACGATGTCGCGTAAAAGCTTCCGTTACAGCTCACTGAGCTCAGCAGTTCTCAGGCGAATAACAAATTACCAATGAAATTACTGGCTTACCTAGAACTCGTTTGCTTTCCAATGAATCAAAAACCACCAAAGCAGTCAGATCTGTGACTCTCGCACTCATGCAAACTCTAAGTAGAGCTGTCAAATACTGCCCCTCAGTGGCGACCGCAGATAGAAGCACTGGAAGCACAGTGCTTCCAGTAAATTTTAGGTTAAAAATTTTTGTTTCTAAATCTCTCTCGCAAGACTCACCAGATTGCATCTCCAGACGTCTACCATTCAAAAATGTTCAGGGGGGCATGCCCCCAGACCCCCTTAGCATGCAGCGCGCCTACGGCGCTTGCTTTTTATTATCACTGAGGATTTTATCCTTCTGTGCTTCTACTTTCTTAAGACCTGTGGGCGCCAGTGCTGCCCCTCCATTATAGCAAAATTAAACGTATGACAATTAATTCTCTCACGTTTACACGTGCACGTTTTGTAGATTATATATCTCTCTCTCTCTCTCGTTCCTCTCCTCCTCCTCCTCCTCCTCCTCCTCCTTGTTTGTCTTATCTCTTACAGAGCAACCACCACCACCAATAGCAGCAGCAGGAGTAGTAGCAGTTGCAGTCAGCAGTTAGCAGCAGCAGCACTATCATTGTATCACTATGACAAAATGCCATGCTGAGTTCGAAACAAAATGCTTGTTGACAATATTTTCTTCTTCTCTTCCTCCTCCTCCTCCTCCTCCTTCTTCTCCCCCTCCATCTTCGTCTACTTTTTCTTTTTCTTCTTCTTCTTCCTCCTCTATCCCTCTATTTTTCACTCTCTTACTTTTCCTTCTCTATCCCATCCTTCCTCAGCCCCCCCCAACCCCTCCTTACCACAACCTCACCCACCCCTCCCCTTACACTCCATCTATCCACCACGTCCACATGTATCTGCACATCTAGGCATGCCACCACTACCAGGACTCCTTGATATACAAAAAACAAAAAATAAATATATTCACACAAAAAATAAAAAATTATTACTCACATGTACAGGTGGCGGCACCGTCTCAACATACACCGGTGGTTCTACGGCGAGCTCTGTTGTCATTGTCTCTGGCTCAATAATGAATGGATCCTGTTGTTCTACGTCGATGTATATCGTGCCTGCAACAACGAACGTGGACTCAACTCCAGGGACCAAAGCCATACACGAAGACAGAGAGAAGACATCAGGGTTTCTTAATATACATAAGAGGCACGGTGGTGCCACTGCCGTTGTCAAATATAACATCGCCGTTGTCAAAATCTTCCTGAAATTACCCGCCGTTGTCAAAATAGTGTCAACCCAAAAATAAATAGATTACGTGCCCCCCACGTGCCTACTAGTGGGTTCCCCCTCTCCCCCTTCAAAATCAAATATTTGCTGAAGAAATACGGCAATTCCGCGAGGCCGTGCTCTGGAATGAACTAGTTAGTATAGCAGAATTTTCAGGGAGTCACACGGACTCCTGCATATGTCAAATCAGGGAGTCCGCTCTGGAATGAACTAGTTAGTATAGCAGAATTTTCAGGGAGTCACATGGACTCCTGCATATGTCAAATCAGGGAGTCCGACAGTAAATCAGGGAGTATTTGACTCCGGACTCGCCTTAATTTCGCACGTAGGCTTGTGAGTCGTGTTCCCGGCACACTAGAGCAATCAGACTCGCTACTCCGCACTAGAGTGACCTCACTCTCTCTCGATTCCAACATAATAATCACGTCCCATGAACCACTGCGACCCGACTGATCAACTTATGGCAAGAAAAATGAAAAGAACAATGGTGTTGATGGTTACGGCTGCGAATGCGTCGCGAGCAATCGCCGAGCTGCCGTAAAAGTATCAAACATGTTTGATGTGTGAGCAATCGGACTCGCGAGTCGTTTGGCGCAGTAAAATGCGCCCGCACGCTAGAGAAATATTGCTCGCAGGTCCGATTGCTGAGCTATATATTGCTCTAGTGCACAGTAGGGTCCCTATATACAGAGAGTTGCGCCATGACGAGTCGGAAAACTATCGGTCGCTGGACGACATGTTGTTTCCAAATAGATACGCACGGCTATGGCCGTAAGAAAGTGTACAATTAAATTATCATATGGCGTGAACAATTTGAGTTACATTTCTAGAAATCTAGATACACATAGACACATGTCTTAGCTATAATCTCTGTAAATTTCGTTTAGTTTTTTAGATTTTGTAGTTTATTGAAGCACGATTAGTCTAATTAATTACTACGGAATATTGTACAGCGTATCCATACAGCGCTGTGCTTAAGCGGCAGCGGTGTGAATCCATTTAGAAACAACATGGCGTCAAATCCTGAGTTGGCGCAACTCTCTGTATACAGGGACCCTAGTGCACAGGGGGGCCTTCAGGTCACAGCTCATAATTTTAAGACTTGCAGAGTACAACAGCCTGGGACAGGGGAAGTATTGGGGAGATGGTTGATGGTTTCAGACAGGGTGATGTGGGCAGGCATGTGCTCATTATTTAGAAATAATGTATTATAAATATTTAATTAATTAATTATATATATTATAAACATATAGCAAAGTTCTGCTGGTGAAAATGATGCGGATGGAAACAGCACCAACCATAAACATTAATTACGATGAAATTGACTATGATGCAAATGATGATAACGAAGACGATGACAATGACGACAACAACAGTGCTCAGCAGCAGCGATGATAGCGACAACAACGATGACAATAACGACCATGATGATGATAACATTGACGATGGTGACGATGATGATGACGATGATGATGATGATGATGATGATGATGATGATGATGATGATGATGATGATGGCAGTGACAGTGACGATGACGATGGTGATGATAATAACGACAATCGCGGCATAATGATGATGATGATTGAGAAGACGTTACGGCCTGGAGCAGGTCTGGCTCTACTTGACATGTGTCTGCTATGTAAGTGAACACTATAGCAGGGTTCATAGTAGTAAGACACATGTTGAAATAAGGACGTATAAGACCTTTTCTGGAGGCCAAAATAAGACTTTTTTTACTATTAAAGTACACTAACAATATTTATATACACAATTGCACGGCAGATTTAATTATTCCGTATTATATATACAACAATTCTTAATCTAAGTCGAGAAAAAATAAGGACTATTAAGTACTTTTCTAAGATTTCACCAAAAATAAGTACTAATAAGGGCCCTTATTTTATTTTTGGCAAAATAAGTACTTATAAGACTTTGGAAGACCCGCTACGAACACTGTTTCTTTTTGAGGGCAGGGAGTCCATCGGACTCCCTTGTTGTTCACAAGTTAATTTCTACCCCTGTAATGCCAACGCTGACGATGCCAGCTCGTTGACCCCTCCTGTTACAACCGCGCCATACTCCCACTGTGTGACTCATACGGCAGAACCACCTAGCAACCCTGTACATCTAGCCAGCCCCACACGTACATGCGCACCCACACGTACACGCGCACCCACACGTACACGCGCACCCACGCCCCACACGTACACGCGCACCCACGCCCCACACGTACACGCGCACCCACGCCCCACACGTACACGCGCACGCACGCCCCACACGTACACGCGCACGCACGCCCCAAACGTACACGCGCACGCACACCGTCGCGCACGTACATTTGCCATTGCGTGCGGTCTAAGCCAATTTCATCGTTTAAATATTCATACGGACTAATGGACGCATGCAACTGCACTTCATTCGCGTGTATATAGAGCTCATCTCAAGCTGTCTCTCCCTCGCTCCATTTTTCATGCCGGTACATCCGCAGTCGTGTGCGTCGGTGAGGGTTGTGCGTCGGAATGCTACGTACCTCATGCGCACCGCGCAGCAACTACTAGTACAGCCACAGGCACTGGGAGCGTTTCAATAAAATATAATGCTAAATAAATACGAAATCTATTAATTTACTACCAGTCTCAATGTTTCTCTACTCTCTTTCACCTATTATTGCCGACAATTTCCTGTAAATGCCGTCCAAATGCTCCTCTGCAACACGCATGTACACCGCGCGCACGCTGCCGCACGCTGACACATATATATAGAGTGACACACTATACAAGACTTTGGTAGTAAATAGATTTCGTATTTATTTAGCATTATATTTTATTGAAACGCTCTAAGTGCCCGTGGGTATAGCTGTGCATGTATTGCGCGCGTGCGCAGGAAGGTCAGTGGAAAGAATTACGGACTGTGTGCTCCCTAACATTTTTGCAGGGCGTTTGAAGGGCGTTTGCAGGGCGTTAGAAGGGCGTCTTGAAGGGCGTCTAAGTCTCAAAAGGGCGTTTGAAGGGCGTTTGTAGGGCGTTAGAAGGGCGTCTAAGTCTCAGAAGGGCGTTTGAAGGGCATTTGCAGGGCGTTAGAAGGGCGTCTTGAAGGGCGTCTAAGTCTCAGAAGGGCGTTTGCAGGGCGTAGCACTTATGGAGGGCGCCCTGCACAAATGTTACTAAAAGTTTTAATGCTTAAAGGGCTGTTACACACTGACCTGGTTCTTAAGTCGTGCAATGTAATACTAGTACGTACAAACAGCTCGATTACTTGCTGCTCTCTCCCTTCACCTTCTCTCGACCTGCCTCCCTACGTTCCTCCCTTTCTCCCACCCTCCCTGCCTCCTTCTCTCCTCCCCTTCCGGCCTCCCCCTCCCCCTCTCTCTCTCTCTCTCTCTCTCTCTCTCTCTC